TTCAACAGTTGAGGCAGTTTCTTCCCCAACATCCTTACTTCTGGTGATTTATTAAGGTCACTTGTGTTAACTGCATTGCCTTTGACATGTGATCACCATAAGCATGTTGTAACCCAGTCTTATCCAATGTCACATGAAAGGGACTGTACTGAGATTCTAGGAAACATCCTTCATTCTTCTAAGGAGAAGAATTTAAAAAGATACAGTGCATAGTCTTTGATTAGATACTGTCCTTTTGCACTGTGAAGCCTGAAGTTGCTGAGATGGCCTTAGCCATTGTGAAAATGTCCATTTATAGAAGTAAGAAGGTCCAAGAGACAGTGGGAGAAGTTTGGCACTCTAAGCGGACAATATGCAGAGATATTCCTTCTTCTGAACCTCTTTGCAATTTCAGTAACATATTTCTATGGGGTTTAAATCAATTATGATATTTTTAACCTAGTATTATTCTAACTCAAGCAATAATCACAATTAAGAATTGTCTTCTTACAACTCACTTCCCCTTACATTTTTGCAATAGTCCCTGAATGTTTATAAATTTTGAAAACTGCAGTCATTCCCAGAGAGCATGAGCCCCAGTGGACGCTAAGGGTTGACCAAAATTGTTGAGGAATGTTAAAATAACAAATAATGGTAGCAGAGCCAGTGACATTGAAAAGTGTTCAGTTTTCTTTCTCTCATCTTAAACATAGTTTCTTCTTCAGACAAAACACAATCCATGAAAAAAAGTACAAGAGGGAGGATTCAATTAACATTTCATAAGTTATAAATTTCATCTGCTGTATAGTTAAGCTCCATAAAAATTCTCTTAAACTTCTCTGTTTTACTTGCCAAAGTTTCTTCAAGGGAAAGACAGTTCCTCATGTCCTTTTAACACCAATGACTCATACCCATTTAGGCACATCTACAATGTGTAGTTTGTAGCTGAACCTGTACAGACATCCTCACAGGAACAGATTACAAAAATAACACAACTACTGTGGACAGTGCACATATAAGTGTGATTTTCATCATTCACATTCACGACCCTTGAGGTCAAACACTGCTGACTATACTGAGTGTATGTGACTCATTCGGGGAATGGTTGCCCAGCCTTCTGCCTGTTCCTATGATGCACCAGGAAATGCACCAAAGTCTTAACAGATAATATGAGCTGTAGGCTCTTTGCCATAGTTGGAGTAACCAGTATTAGAATGATTTTAAAGTAACAGAACCACTGTGAACAATGCTAGTAAAAAACTTCAACATAAGGATTTCAGTCCCACAGTGGGGAGAGCCCCAGTGGGTGCACCCAACAACTCTGTCATCTGTACCACACCTATGAAATAGGTATATGAAATACCAAAGGGTTCTTATTCTTCCAAAACCTAAAAAACCTCTGGGCTTTTTGGATATGGTAAAACACTCCAAAGCCACTGACCATAGCCAAAGTAGCCACAGGAGTAAAAAATTTTTTCTGGGCATGGAAATACACTTAACACTATAAAACTAATTGATGACAACACAAGACACAACATCAGAGGAAAGAAGATTTAAAAAAAGGTCATCATATGAAAGTGTAAGGGATGTCAAAAATAACAGATGTGCAAACTTTAATACAGAAATGCAAGAGCAAATATTTAAGAAAAGACATGTGCTATGAAACCTTCTGAAGTATATAGCGCTCTAGTAGATAATTCCAAAGATGTTGAAGTGGATGTAATTGTGAAAACAAATCCAAAAGAAAGAGTTTTGAAAATCTAAGTGAAATCCAAAAAATACAGGCATACACTTGTGTGAATTAATAATGTGCATGAAAGAGACAAAGATTTTGAAAGAGAACCAAACAGATATCTTGGAAATCATACGTTCAATGAGTATGAGTAACTTAACAGGACTCAAATAAAAGTCTCAAAAATGGACAGGAACATGAAATAAACCATATTGGAGCAAGTCTTTCAAAATATTACCTACAGAGATAAATAAAGAAAAAATATTTACAAGAATTTAAAAACATATGAGTCTTGGGACACTATTGAATGTTTCAATGTCTGGCTTATCAGCATACCAAAAGGAGGACAGCAAGTTTAAGGGCATAGAATATTTATTTACTGAAATAGTAGTGGAAATTTTCCTATGTCTTTGGAAGCACATAGAAATGTAAAAAGTTGTAATGGTAAAGGCATCTGTCCATAACATATTGCAGTTAAAATACCAAAAGTATAGTACAAACAAGGAATATTAAAATCTGTAAGAGAGAACTGCCAAATCATATTTTAGACCATCCCCTTGTAGTAGCAACAGATTTCTCAGCACAACTTAAAAAACCAACAGTTGTAGCACAATATATTTCAAGTCCCAGAAGACAATACCTGCCAATCAAGATTACTATACTAGCAAGGTTAGAGGAGAAATAAGGAACTTCCATGAGAAGAAGAAAATAAGGGAATCTCTGAGTACCAGATCAATATTATTAAAGATATTGAAAGAAATTCTACACTCTGAAGAATAAGAAACATAAATACTTTAATAAGAACATATAAAAAATAAATCCCAGTAGAAGAATAGTATACACATATTAAAAATAGAAATGTAACAACCATCAACAATAAATACAGTAAATACAATAAACAGTAAACTTCTAACAGGAATAGACAGAAAAAAATCAACTGAGAATTTAAAAAACAGTGAGAAGAAAATCAAAATGAAAGAAATAGCTTGAAATGTAAAATGCTCTAAATATAAAAGTTCTTATCTCAAAATTAAAAACACACACTTCAAAATGACTGGAAATATCGCACGTTTCAATATTAACAATGAAAATTTAAGGTCTCAATTCTCTAATCACATAACATAGAATAGCACATTGGATTACAAAACAAGACACAACCATTTGTTTAGAAGGTAACATTGAGAAAGACGAGTATTGTCTTAGAGCAAATAGGTGGGAAAAGATTTTCAAAGCAAACACACAGAAAATAGGCAAGAGTTGCTATAGTAATGATAAAACAGCAAAATCTGTTTTGAATAAATACCCATAGGCTATTGAGAATAATATATATTCTCCACCTATATGCACAATATTCTGCAAGGGGCATTTTTGCTATTTGATCTGTGATACAGTTTAAAGTTTCTTTCTTGATTTTTTTGTCTGAATAATTTGTTTATTGATGATAGTGGAGTATTGAAGCAATTCATTATTATTTTATCTGGACCTATCTCTTTATGTTTGCATTTGTTTTACTAAATTTTATTAAATTGGACATTGGTTCATATATGTTTTCATTTCTTACTTCTTGATGTATTGTTTCCTTTATTAATATATTGGGACTTTATCTCTTATGACAAATTTTGTCTTGAAATTGGCTTTCTAAAATGCAAGTATGGATACCCCTGTTTGATTACAGATTCCATTTACTGGAAATCACATCTTCTATTGTTTCATTTCCCGTCTGTGTGTGTCTGAGATGAGTTTTTTGTGAACAGCAAATAGTTGTATTTTTAAAAAAATACATTCAGCTGGTCTTCACCTTACAATTAGAGAGTTAAGACCATGTACACTTAGTGTTGTTATTGAAGCATGTGTATCATTTTATCCCTTATTCATCTTAGAATTTTGTTTCCTCAGTGAATGATCTTTAGTTCTTCCAAATCTCATTTGTTTGTACTTCTATTGAGACTTATCTTTTCCCAAGCTTTGTGACTATGTATACCACCCAAAGTTGTATATTTTAAAGACTGAGTAGTTTATGGTTTCTTATAAAACATCCAATAATGCCTAATAGGTACTGTTTATAAAGTTTTATCTGTTAGTATCTTTTAATAGAGGGTAACATCCCCCATTTTAAACTATGCATTCCTTCAGACTAACCTTTGCATTTGCCACATTGTATTCTGAGTATTGGTCCTAAATAAGGCTTGAATGGCACCACTGATTGTGATAGAGCCAATTCTATTGAATTTAAGATGCAGTACATAATGTTGAGTATAAGTATGCGTTGTGCATATCTTAGATGGTGCCTATTGTTTTTGTTTCAGTCTTCAGATCAAATTAAAAAATGATGAAAGCAACTTCAACTTCTTCCCATATACCCATGTCATTTTTCTTTAGATGTTGTTCAGAATACTAAAAATTTTTTTTATTATAGCAAAAATCAGAAATGCCAGGATATAATGGCAAATGGATGAGCATAATTACTTTAAAGCAAAGAAAATATCATGTACATGTAATCATGGAAAACAGTGAATGGCTATTCATTATAGGAAAACATCCCTAATGTAACTGCCCTTAGAATGAATTAAATTTAGAAATCCATTTATCTGTACATCGTACCTGAAAGACTATGAGGTTAAAATTTTTTTATTATTCATATGTGCATACAAGGCTTGGATCATTTCTCCCTCCTGCCCCCACCTCCTCCCTTACCACCCACTCCGCCCCTCCTTCTACCCCCCACCCTCTCAATACCCAGCAGAAACTATTTTGCCCTTATTTCTAATTTTGTTGTAGAGAGAGTATAAGCAATAATAGGAAGGAACAAGGGTTTTTGCTGGTTGAGATAAGGATAGCTATACAGGGAGTTGACTCCATTAATTTCCTGTGCATGTGTGTTACCTTCTAGGTTAATTCTTTTTGATCTCACCTTTTCTCTAGTTCCTGGTCCCCTTTTCCTATTGGCCTCAGTTGCTTTTAAGGTATCTGCTTTAGTTTCTCTGCGTTAAGGGCAACAAATGCTAGCTAATTTTTTAGGTGTCTTACCTATCTTCACACCTCCCTTGTGTGCTCTCGCTTTTATCATGTGCTCAAAGTCCAATCCCCTTGTTGTATTTGCCTTGATCTAATGACCACATATGAGGGAGAACATACAATTTTTGGTCTTTTGGGCCAGGCTAACCTCACTCAGAATGATGTTCTCCAATTCCATCTATTTACCAGCGAATGATAACATTTCATTCTTCTTCATGGCTGCATAAAATTCCATTGTGTATTAAAGAACTTGGTCAGGTGCTCTGGCGCTGTCATGGCGGGTCTCCTGAAGAAGACCACCAGCCTCACGGGATTGGCTGTGAGTGCCTCTCTGCATGAGAGACTAAGAATATTGTATGCAAAGATTCTCGATGTTCTTCATCAATTCCCTAAAAATGTAGCATATAGAAAATATACTGAACAGATTACAAATGAGAACCTGGGTATGGTTGAAGTGGAACCAGATGTTATAAAATTGGAAGACCAACTTCAGGGTGGCCAAATAGAAGAGGTGATTTGTCAGGCTGAAAATGAACTAAGCTTGGCAAAAAAAATGTTGCAGTGGAAACCATGGGAGCCATTAGTGGAAAAGCCTCCTGCTAACCAGTGGAAATGGCCAATATAGTTATCTTTAAATGTCTCTGATAGGTTGATGGCAAACTGATGTAATTAAATGTACTGTTATATTAAAAGTGTGTTCATATTATTGACATGTTGTAATCAAGAAAATTAATACAGGACAAACCTAGGAGACTTTAAAATTTGTTACTATTTTCATAGGGTTTCTGATTCAGTTTTTGATTTGCATAGTGTCTACTCAGATTAGTTCAAAGACAGTATTTCTTTGAACAGAAAGGTTGTGGGAAGACTTGAAAGTTAATTAGAAAACTTCTTAGAAGTATTCAGTGCAGAGGCCACAGTTGAAAAGTGAAGTATCTTTAGTAGTATCTTCAGCACATTACTTAATTTCTTTTATTCTAGAGAAAAGAGAAGGAACTTTGTTATGTGTGAATAAATGTGTTGATAACTGAAGTTAGCTCATGAGAGTGAAGGTGTTCCATTTTGAGAATAGTGTCAAAATAGTTTGATAAAATTTTAAATTGTTAATTTGGCATGATATATATAAAGTAAAAATAAAATAAATAAAAGTAAAAAAAAAAAAAGGACTTGGTCATTTGGAGTAGGTCCTTCCATAGAAAGGAAGCAGGTCACATGACAAGGAAAGTCCTAAAATACCACACAGGAAAACCTTAATTCCACTTTCACTGAACTTTGGTCCTACAAATTGGACTGTGACAAAAATTCAGTATGTCCTCACCTACAAATATTTTCTAGGACTACCGAATTCTGATAAACTCCCCCTAATTTTGTAAAGAATACTAATAACCTTTGATATGGTTGTTCTCAGCAAAATGTTTAAACATTTGTCCAGGCCATAAATTGTGAACAAATAAGATAAACTGAGAGAAAAGAGAGTTGTTACATCAGGAATGGTGTGAAACATAAATCCTGTATTAGTTATCATACAACATGACCATGGAAATTAAGAACTGCTTCTGGAATTCGAGTTTTTGTACTTTTTGAAATATACAGTATTTTTTATGTAAAATAATTATAACACAAAGAATTCTCTCAATGTCTTCCCAACAGATCCTCCAACTTGTCACACTCTATTGTTAGATCAAGGGAGAGAGAATGAAGTAAAACAGGAGGGGGAAGTGTGCCAAGGTCAATAGGAGGTAATGATCACTGTGGGAGTCAAAAGGACAATTGAAAGCACACTTTAATTTCAAATGAGCTTGGAAAAACTAGTGACCACTTTAGAACTCTCAATTTTAAAATAAGTCATTGACTGACATCACATACTAATCCTGAAGATTTATTCAGACTGATGCTTGGTATATTAGAATCAATCACAATATTATCTGCTATAATTGATAGCATTGCTAGCCACACTGTATCCCCTTGGGTAATTGGATAAATATTTAACTTATTCCTCTTTTCTTTACTCATTCACAGAACTTGTTCTGGCTCATTTTGTCACAATTTGGTCTGAGATATTGGTTGATATTTTAACCAAGAAGATTAGTTTCCATTCTTCTTACTTTTTCTGTGCTACACAAAATTCCTGTGGCAAATAAAATCTGAGACATGCATGGTAGCAACACTTTTTTGAAAGCATTGCATTCACATGACATGAAATCTGGAGTCTGCTGCACTGAGAATAACATTTGCCATAGTAGAATCCTTGGATTTTTCTTGTCCATATTGGTTGCTACCTATGACATTAGGTTTTGTCCCTGACAGAGAGGACAAAGCAATGTATTTTAAAGCTAACAAGCAGAGCCCTTTTATAAGACAGTTTACAATGTGTGACCAAACAATATAAACTGTGCTTTCACTACATTTGTGCAATAATCCTTGCTCTGTTTATATTGTGAAGGCCAATAAATTTGAGACATATTGTGAAATCTTCTAACACTATCTGAGAGAAAATACATATCACTTACAGAATTAGAGAGGTGTTTTGCTCTGAATAGTTACAAGCTGGTATCCATCTATCCTGATTCCTACAGGCAATTTGTTAAAGAATTTTTATTTGTTGCACTATGATATCATCACTTACATACGCTATCTTAAAGCAGAAAATACCACTTTTCCCCTCTGTAGCTGGGCTGACCTTCATAGACACACAGATAATTTAGAAGAATTAGAGAAATTCTTGAACACTTTAACCTTAGCAAAGTTGAAACATGAATAAATAAAACTTGAGCAGAAAAATAATGATAATGAGGTTGAATAAGTAAAAATCAGTCTCCCAGAACAGATTCCCTAGAACTGGTTGGCCTTACACCTCATTTAGTTATTCCGAACAAAAGAAGAGAAAGCAATTTTACCATACACATTGTATGAGATTAGCATTGTCCTGATAACAAAAACACACATACTCACACACACACACACACACGCACACACACACACGCACACACACACACACACACACAAAGAAAGCTAGATGCTTTTCTCCCTGCTTTACACAGATTCAAAAATCCTCAGGAAAATATTAGCAAACAAAATGTGACAGCACATTAAAAATGTCAATCAACATGATCACATGGATTTCCTGCTAATGTGAACACTGACAAAAGTCCAACAGACTTCTGGAAGATTTAAGTCACAAATAAGGTGAAAGAAAATATACTCAACTCAATTATCATTATGAGATTGCAAGTCAAAACACAATAGCATTTTATATCACTTATGGCTTCTATTTAAAAAGAAATTAAAATAAAGAATGAAAAAGATCTGTTGGTGAGGATGAGGAAAAAATTGAACTCTTGTGTATGACAATGAAGGTTCTGAATGAGGTGATCTGGATGTACTTGATTCTGGCCAAAATGGCACATATTCAGTGGTTTTCCATTAACCATGGTTTTGCTTTCCACAGTATAACTTATGCAAGGTCATTCATCTGTGGTCTGAAAATATTAAAAAGAACATTACAGAGATAAACAATTCTTCAGTTTTAATTTGTATGTCATTCTGAGTAGCATGATAACATCTACTGTTATGCTGTTCTACACCACTGGGAGCCCTCTCCTACCTTTGTCTCTACCACATGTACTGCTTCCTATCTCATAGATGTTTAATAGATGTCTAGGTCATCAGGTAGGCTTCCATGGTATCTCAAGCTTCCATTGCATAACTGTGACCTATCAACTTAGATTTATGTCACATTAATCCCTTCACTTTATTTCATCACCTAGGTATTTTATTTTTTTCGGTTTATAACAAGAGGAACTGAGGCTGGTGATGTAGCTCAGTGGCATAATGCTTACCTACCATGCAATAAGTCCTGAGCTATATCCCCAAATGTGCAAATTAGTTTTCTAAGTTAATATAGTACAATATTCTGTGAGAGGCAAAAACGAGAGAGTAAATAAAACTCATTACAAAAGTAGAATTTTTTGTAGAGTATTATTTGTAATCTCTCACCATACCTCAGTTACTAATTAATTGTGACTGGCTTCTCAAGTAGGGATCCTTTTGAAAATTGAGACTATGGGCAGGTCAATAGTATCAGGATGTGTTTGAATTAGAAGACACCTAACTGAGTGACTGATTCTTTGTTATATAAGGAAATCCCCCTTTCACACCCCACATCTGTACATGGCACCTCAGTGTTGAGTGTGGTATGACAATAGAGGGAAAAAAAACGTTTTTCCTGATATGTATAGCTGCCATAATTTATGACAGTGTGATGATTATAGCCTTCTAAAAAAGGTATTGAAAAATATCCAAAAAGCTACTCAAATTTTAATATATTTTATCTTATTTAACAAGTAACATGAATCTACTTACCACATAAATCATAATATGTTTTAACACGTAATCTATTTATATATATGAATATTTTAATTTCTGTTTTACTTATAAGAAAAGTAAATATTCACCAATAAAAGTGTTAAATTTGTAACAATTTTACCACCATGAGGATCTTTTGTCATATTATTCCCATAATAACAGAAATGGCAAAAGCTACTTTTAATTTTGCATAAGGTACATATCATGTGTATATTGAAAGTGCTATTATTACATCATTATACAAGGATGGAAAATTCAACTTACTATTTCTTAAAATTTGAGGACATTGATGCAGGTAGTTAATTTAGAGAAAATAACCCTCAACATATTAATCTTTTTAATAGAATTTATATATATCATATGTTTCCATGCAAGAATAATGCAGTAATAAGTTATTTAGTATCATTCTGCTTTTTTGATATGTGTGTATCAAAAAAGATTTTCCTTTATCACCAGGCTCTAGATATTGAAAGTACAGATTTTCACTTCAGACAACAAATAGAAACCACATGTATAAAAAATATGTTCCTTGAAGACAAATATCACCATATCTCTATATCATTACCAACTTCTTTTGTTCTGTATGTCAAATTTCTGCTATGGATATGGAAACATTACCTTTCATTGATCATATTAACATCTCAAATGCCCCATTTTCTTATTATTGTTGTACTGGGTGTACATTGTTACATTTACAAACATACGTACAGCATATCAGAGTTGAATTCAACCCCTCCATCATTTTTTTTCCACCTTTCCCCCATTGATGTAAAAATTTCAACAGGTCTCATTTTTCCATTTTCATTCACGAATGCACAATATTTCCACTATATTCACCTTCTACACCCTTTTGTTATATCATCCCCCACACCTTTAACAAGCCCCCAGGCAGGAACTATTTTGCCTTTCTAGTCTCTGTTTTTTAAAAAAATATTATTTTTGTTTGTTTAACACTGGTGAATGCTTCATTTTGACATCTCCATGTATATAAGTAGTATAACCAATATTGGTTCATCTCCTTTACTTTCTCTTTTCAACCTTAGTCTCCTTCATGTGGTTTAAAAATTCTATATTCAATCAACTGGTTTAAAAATTCTATATTCAATCTTGTATAGGAAGTACATCAGTCATATTCACCAATTTTGTGATATTTTCAATTTCTAAAAGTTTCTAGTATTCTCTGTTCAATTTTACTATTTTTAACTTCACATCTAAGGAATCCTCCTCCCCTCCACTGGAGTAGGGGCAAGTGAACTTCGGGCATTGAGTTCAATACACAAGCTTTCTGCCACTTAATCCACACCACTAGCCATTTGCACTGTTTTTTGTTTGTTTGTTTTGTCTTTTCAGATAAGGTGTTGCATTATGCTTGGGTTGGCCTGGACAACAATCCTCCTATTTGTACTTCCCTGAGTAGCTGGATTGACAAGCTCATGTCACTGTGACTAGCCATTTTTGAGGACTTTCTCCAGGTCTGGCCTTCAGCTACCATCTTTCTATCTCTACATCCAGAATAGCTAGAAATATAGGCTTAAACCACTGCACCCCATTCTGAGACATTTTAATTTTAGCACATTCCATACTATGCGTTTCACTTGTTTGGTAGTCTTTACTTCACCTTATCTCATCAAGTCATTCATTCATCAGAATCATAGTCATCAGGTCTCTCTTTGCTCCTTTGTTCACATTGTCATTTTCCACACAAGTTTAAGAATTTAAATTAGGTATAATAATAGTCACCTAGCAATGAAAATAATAGTCACAGTTCATTCATTCTCTGTACATATCTGGTATAATGTTTGCTGTTGGCTAAAGCTTATATTCCCAGCTATTGATCTGTGCTTATACCAACCATATAGGAGAAATGAATCTATAATGAGCACAAATAATCCTTTTATTACTTGGACCTTTTCATTTAAAACAGAGTTCCAACCCCACAGATGGGCATAAAGAGCTTTCCAAACAGTTGAAAATCTAGGCAAGTTTGAAGCCATCTAAAGAAAATCATCACTCCCTCACTATGATTGCAGTGATCAACACATTGGAACATTCCTTTTTCCTTCAAATTATTTGTTTCACACCCAAATGTTAATTCCATAAGCATTTATATGTGGTCACTGTGGGAAGAGGGCTTTGACTCAGTTTTAGCCAATGACATGAGAGAGGGAAAATATCCTTTTCTCCTTAGAAAGATGTTTTAAAAGAAGATGTCTGCTCTCATATACTGGATAGTGCAGTGTTGTGGTGTCACATCTGATATTTTCCAAGGCTACATAACCCAGCCCCAAAATGATGTCGACGAACAGAAGTGGGAAAACGCCAGGATAAGATGGTAGAAGGTCTTGACTCTCAGTGTACAACATCATGGGTTTGCTCTTTCTCTGGGCTTTTTGTTATGGAAGTTAATATTTCAGTGAGGGTTAAGCTAATATGATACATAGTTGTATCCTAACAAATGGAAACATTGAAGTTAACAAAGTTCCTATAACCCCTCCCCAACTGCATTTTGCACATATCAAAAAAGATTTAGAATTATAAAGGAACCCATTGACGCTCAAGGAGCGTCACTCCTTGAGAGTAGGCGCTTCTGTGAGTCTAATTTTAGAGTCATGAAAAAATTGAGCAATATTAGGTAAGAAATAATGCAGTAGAGATATTGATGTAATAAAATGTCTCCATTTTCTCCTCAAATCACATAGAGCCATTGTCTTCTGTGCTTTTGGAAAAGTATTAGATCTTTGCTTTACTAATTTTTCCAAAAAATAGAAAATAAAATTTATGTAATGTGGTTAAAAAAAAAAGATTCTGTGGCAAGTATTTCTAAGGTACTTAAAAATGGTTACATAAACAGAGGCTTATTCATCCAATTTCAGCAGCATCTCTGAGGTTAGTTTGCATTCCCAGCTGGGAGGACAGAGCAACATTTTATGAATGATAAGCACAGTCCTATTATCATGCATATTCCTAAGTTTGTGACAAAGCAAGATAAGTTATCACAACTTTCAGAACAATAACTTTGATTTTAAGAAATAAATTGGTAACTCTGTTGCTTTCCCACACAGAGTAAAACCATTCTGTGCTGTGCAGATTTTGGCAATGGTAAGAGCACATTGTAATTGCCAACCATTTTGAATCCTCCTTTTTTTTTTTCTGACTAGGTGTTTAATTTGATGATATACACTGGTCACTGCTTAAAAGAAACTGTTTACTGTTGGTCTAGTGTCAAGCAGCTTCTTGATGTTTCCATGAGAGAATTTGGAGCACATTCATCCAATATCTTATTGATATTACTCTACATGCTAACATTTCAAGTGGTTCATAATATTACATGTTTTTCAATGCATCATACTTCTTATAATCTTTTCTAAACACAATGCAATGAAAGTTACTTCTAATTTTTATGTTCCCATTCCCATAATAATTATATTATTTATAATGCTATGCATGACTCTGAGTCTTGCCATCCATGAAATATGTGAAAACTTCCTTTTGTCTGCAGGACTCAGTTATTGAAAGAACAGCTGACAGTATTTCCAAGCAGAGAAGTGCTCACTTTCTGAACATACTCCTGCCCCATAGGATTCCCGTGGTCTCCTCTTGCATCTCCCTAGTATACACTCCACATGAATACCTCACTCTGCAGTTCCTATGAAGCTACCTGTAAGGATTCTTGGGTCTCCTTGTAATATGTACCTCACCCTTGAGACTGACAGCCATGAACCAACTAAAGTGTGTTTTCTTGTTACTTCATTGGCTAGAGAAATACAGTCTAATAAATGCAAGCTAACGCCTGTATTTGCTTGAGCCTGAAATACCACTCTCACCACTGAAATCTGTAAGATAGCTTTTAACAGTGGGGCATAGTAAGATATGCCTATAATTTCAGCACACTGGAAGCTAAGGCAGGAGGATGACAAATTTGAAGCCATCCTTGTATCACATACATGACACTGACTCTAAGAAAAAAAGAAGAAAAGTGACTATCTTTTAATCCCTGCTCGTAAACTCCTAGTCAAATTAGTTTTTTATCATATGATATAAAAGTAAGCAAAGCATGCAAGTTATAAAGACAGTACTAATAGGTAATCATTAGATAAAACACTTTTATATTTATTTCACAAAGTGATGGAAACATAAAGCCTTCCCTTCCATATTGACAGATTCATCTTGAGCTGCTTGTGAGTTGCTAAGCAGCAAAACCTGGTCAGGATGGATGTGTCCAATCAACAGCATCTGAACCATCTCCCACACCACTCACCACACAGGAACTGCTGGTACAAGTCACAGCAAAGGCCCCATTTTAATATTCATCAGAAAATGGATAATTAGGGTGGTCAGCAAGGCTAAAACGAAAGAGAAAAAAATAGTAACATGGATTCTATGATCCACTTTCCAGAAGTATAGATGTGAAATCTACAGAGCTACCATTAGGATGAAGTTATTTTATTTCCTGACTGGGTGTAGAATCTGCCATTTTATGTTTTTTATAAAACATAAAAACATTATGTTTTATAAACATAACTTTATAGAATTTTCAAAAATATATAATTAAACTTATATATAATTTAATTTTTCCAATTATATTCCATTTCTTAGAATAGAACTCACACAGACAAGCATTTATACATATTCTTCTCTCTTAGTTATGTCTATCAAGCTACCATAGTAAAGAAAGCAAAAAAAGTCTTTCCTATTTCAGTCTCTCAACAAAAGTATAACTTGCTTATGTTATATTTAGTACAAGGACAATTCAACATAATGACCAGCACAAAAAGTATTTTAGAGTGTATAGTTTAAGGCTAGTAATTTAACTTCCATTTTATTAGCTCTTCAATTATTATCGATCATCATGTACAACATATTACATTAGATTCAGATATACAAAGTTGTCATCTGTATGAAATACTTCTAAGTCCATGGAATATAATATAGAATTGATATATTTCTACATTTTAATAGCAATACAAAATAAGAAGTGATAAAAATCATTATCTCTTTAAATATTTTATAGGTGACAAGAATTATTGGTTACTTGCCACTCTGTCTCATTGCACTGTCTCTTAGTCTTCATTTTTCTCTATACTAACAAAAACATTAGCAATTATAATATATCTACCAACTTGTGAACATTATATAAATTATGAATTTATAGAAATCATTCTGTATTAAATATTTAATAAGGTGATTATTACTGATCATGCTCCTTGTGCCTCATTGCATTGTTTCTCTACCTTATTTTGCAGTTTTAGTGTACTAACAAAAATATTAGCAATAATAATATATATGCCAATCTGAGCACATGTTATTGTGGATTTTATAATACCCTCTCAAATGTTTTCACATTTATTCTATCATGAATTTAAATGTCTGTTGCCAGAATGATATATATTCTTTCTTTGTCTTCATTTAAAATATATGTCCAATATCAATTTATATAACCCTACAGCATAAAGAATTGGTAAAGATTTTTACTTACAATAAATCTCAACAAGTGGGCTTTTTCTGCACACATTCTCTTGTTTTAAATCACTCATCTCTAAAACATCTTTATCCTCTGCATTGAGATGTCCATAATTCATAAACACAAAATCAAATACTCCATTGACTGCCTCAATGGCAGCTTTTCAAGAGTCAGATGTAGAGTTTTGAGTTTGAAACAACATGTACAGATAAGGAAGGGAGAAACTTAAAATGACAGCGAATTGAGACAACGTGTTTACTAAAGTTACTTACAATTCAGCAGGTAGATAGCGTAAATTTTTGTTCAGGCCATCTAGGACTTTCATATCCTCTGAAGACAACTGGAATTCAAAAACCTATCACACAAGTAGGCAGCTATTAGCATACTTAAACTGTGTATTTGCCAATCTTGAATTAAATCATGAATCAGATTTCAAAAACCTACCACACAAGTAGGCAGTTATATTGGTATATTTAGAGTGTGTATTTGCCAGTCTTGAAAATAAAATGAATCAGCAAAGACAATATTTAAAATATCTGAGAGTTTGTAAAAGCTATTAAAGAGATTAAAGCAAAACACTCACATGGTCAATGAACATCAGGTGAAAATTAAAGAAAAGTGACTTTGATAAGTATCAGAACTGCACAACATTATACAAAAAAGATTTCAAAAGTCGCTGGATCAGAAACAAAGCTGAGATTATAAAATTCCATATATAAACCTCTCAAAGATTTTGGAGCAAAGTTTTGAAATGTAGAAAAGGTTTTGTGGATGGAGTTAGTATTCTGCATCCACCAATGAACAACTAAAATGTGCACAGTGCACAATTTAAGTCAGGAATTACATACTTGCTCATTATGTCAAAGAAATGATTTGAAGAAGATCTCATTATCTACATTTGGGAGCCTCAAACATCAAAATAAGTTTCAATAATTTCTAAGATGCTAAAACAAATGGATCATTAAGACTTTGGTAATTCCCTAAAATAGTGTGCGTGTGTTTAAAGGGAGAGGTCGACAATGTGACAACTGATGGATCTAAGAAAAAGCATTCATTGAAGTTTTTCCAAATTTGTAAATTATCAAAACAGTCACTTTTCTGTGAAGAATCTGAGAGAACATATATAAATTATCTAGTGTGTATTCATTATGAAATTTATTAAAGTATTTTGAAATATAACCTAAAAAATTAAAAACTACATCATAATTATGGATTACAGTCCTTAATATTTCAAACACTGAGCTTTCTACAAACCTATTGTCAGGTTCATTGAAATATCTAAAGACTTCCATATCTAAACACTTAAAGACTTACTATGGGTGAAGTTTGAAACCATGATTCTAATTTTTATATAACAGAATCATCTGTTAAGGATAGAAAAGGTATTTGTAACAATAGAGTAAGGAAATCTTTTCCCACTCTGGACAGCAAGACTAATTCTCAAGCACATTAAGGCAGTTGGGGAAAGCAAATGGGAAAATTGAAGGGTGAGTAGAAGCCAAAAAATCATTCTTTAAGAACATTTATAGTATTTAAAAAATCATATAGATGTATTTGAATTTTTATTTCAAATAGTTTTGGGAAGCTGATATTGAAAGAGAACAGTTAGGAAGGAAAGACTACAATGATTTAATAAAATAATGGAATGGAACATTGTTGTAAATCGGTTATAAAAAAACCACCCAACCAACAATCCACATTTCCAAGTCTCCACATTCTTTGTTACATGAATGTGAACTATTTCCACTAAGCGGCGCTATTTCCCCACCCCTTGAATCTTGCCTGGTGTGCCACTTGCATTGGTCATTGGAACTTAGCTCAATTCTGAGCTTAGGCATAAAAGGCTTTGCAAGGATCTGCTCCTAGTCACTGCCTTGATACGTATAGAGCACTTTGAAGGGTGAAGCCTTGTTAAAACTATGTACAGCAGAAGAACCCTATACAATAGCTGAACCAGTGTCATGATCAGAGAGGCCTCATTGTCCTGCGAATGTATTATAGTGTTTCTTAAAACATTGATCTTGGTAAGAGGGTAAGGAATATATTTAACCTGTGAAGAAACAAAATAAATATCTATAGAATATCAGAATATGCCGGTGCAAGGAAATGCAAAATGCAAATATAATACTTATTTTAACAATAAAAATCACCCAATCCAAATCACTCATTTCAGAAAATAAAGAAAAGATGATGTCACTTACTCAGGACAAGGCTAACATAATTCTGAAACCCACATCTCTGTGCTCTCTGAAATCCTAATTCAAACTAGGCTATGCTCTCTCTCAATGAAGTTTAGGAGAAAGGATTTCCAAGAGCACCTGAAATCTCACATATATTAGAAATGCTAGGGAAATAATTTGGCCCACAAATTTACTCAGGCATCAAGGAAATACAATTGTGAAGAGTACTACGTATCAATGTGGATGCACACAGCCCCCACTCAGCACCTGTATGTTCTCTCTTATCTCCTTTTCTTTGTAACTCTGGGCCAGTGGCACAATGCCACGTTGCAGCAGGTAGCGAAGGGCAATCAGGGCAGAACTTCGATTGTGCTTTTTTGCCATGGCACAAAGAATTGGATCATTCAAGAGAACTGGGGAGCCTGGGTCCACCCTGCAAGAAAAGACACAAATTCTGAACTCCAGAGGCTGAGCATTCAGCTCCTTGCAAGGATTCCAAACTCACTAGGGTACCCACTCAAGTCCAGGGATCCCATACCAGCAGGGAGACTATCTTTGAAGATTTACTCAGAAATGCATATTTTCCCCTGACGCAATTCAGCATTAACTCTAAAATACAGAGTGTGCAGGACTAAAACTTTTTCATCAACATTGATGTTTTAAAGAATCCTCCTTTGTCTTTGTTACCATCTTTTAGGTCGCTGAGTTCCCAGAGCGCCATAAGCAACCAGCACAATGTCTTTTGACTTGCAGAAATCCAGCAGTTTGCTCTGGTTGAGGTAAAGATGACATTCTACCTACGGATAGCCAAGATAGATATTAACAAAACTTGTTAAAAGGAAACAAAGCAGAACAGTGAAAATTTATGTAACATTATATTTGAATTGAAAAAATCAACATTTGTGTACTGCGTGTGGAATTTATGGCCTCATACTTCTTAGGCAAGAGCCCTACCACTGGAAGCACTCCACCAGTCCTTTCTGGATTGATTATTTTTGAGATAGGGTTTTGTTTACTCCTGGGTTAGCCTGGGCAGTGATTCTTCTATTTATGCTTCACCACATAGCTGGGGATGACAGGTGCACACCACTCTCCCCAGCCTTTGGTTGAGATGGGTTCTCATGAACTTTGTTTTGCTCCAGCTGGCCTGGAACCTTGATCCTACAGATTTCCACATACTGAGTAGCTAAGGTTACAGGCTTGAGCTACTATGCCAAACCAAGTAATGTTTTTCTTTCTCCTGCTGGTGACCTTGGACAGATTTACACATTAAAAACAATAATGACTAAAAGCCATTCTGACATATAGTAAGTAAAAGTTCTTCAGTTCAGAAAGAAAAAATACATTATCCTGCAGATGGAGATTATTACTATAATTCCTGTCTCAGAATACTGATTTTTGAAAAGGCAGGAATTAAGGTCCCTTCCTTTCAGGAATAATTGCAGTTAAACTGATGTAATGAATAAATTTGTTTGCATACTAAAATTTATGTTAATAAAAGTAGACAGAGTAATTAAAATGAAAATAATTATTCACAAATTCTAATGACTCTATCAGTCTCACAGAAATGATTGATTAAACCTCAAGAATTATGTAAAAATTTGTCTTTAAGTGGAATCTTTGCTATTAAAAAATTTCACCCACAGACTGAGTAATGGCAATACAGGAAAACATGCATTCTTTAAAAGAGATCTGACTAGGACTACTTAAGAAAATGATGAAATAAACACCACTATTAGGTGAATAAACTGTCATGACATGCTTTCTGCTATGGTGCAATTTGGGAGTCATAGCATGCAAAGAACATTTCTAGTAAAAAATATTGAAGGTTAGTATAATAAAGGATTCAAATCTAACTCCTAATTAAAAGAAACCTGACATCAGACACAAATAAAGGACAGAAACATCCAAACTCCACACATCTTTGCCACTATCTATCTTATTCTCAATCATCCTTATTTACCATCCATTACATGTTTTCATGGATTTCCTTGCTATACCCACTTCTTCATATAGCACCTTCACCCATCTTATGTCTTAGCATTCATAATAGCTCAGCGATAACTTCATTTTTAATTAGGGGTCTTATTAGTGACTGTTCCCCATGGGCACAATATATCAATTGGGCACTAATATATGCCTCTGTGTTCACTAAGAAGAAATACAAGTAAGGATCTTCCATGAACCCTGAGACAGAGGAATTACTTTTAGATTCTTCTGTTCCAAAGAAGAAAGATGAAATTTGAGGAAAACAAGAATGGATACCTGACAGAAATAAAGAAATAAGCAAATTAATAAGAGTTGGAGAGGAGGCTGAGAGTTCTCACCTGGTTGCAGACAGGTTTGTACTTGAGCCCTGGCTTATTCAGGATCATCTCTAGCTGCCTGTGATTAAAATTGGAAACCCCAATGGACTTGGCCAGTCCGGCATCCTTACACTTCTCCATGGCCTGTGAAGGGAACGTTGTATAGTTGGATCAATTGAATATAAATGCAAATTTTAACCATTAAAAGGAACACTGCCGGGGGCTAGGTGTATAGTTCAATGGTACAGTGTTTTCCTAGCATGTGCATAGTCCTTGGTTTGATGCCTTGGAATGGAAAAAGGAAAAAAAAAGGAGCACACTGTCCAGAAATGATGATGCTCCCTGGAAATGATTCTGAAGAAAAAATAATTATAAATATGAGAGAAACAGTGACAGGCAGAAAAAAAAATTTCTGCGTCGTCATTAGAGGTATGAAAACATTACTGAATATGGTGACAAAGTATGCCTGTTTCTATTGTCCTCAGTTCTACTTGGTTCTTCTATATCATATTAAAGTAACTGATTCTTCCCCACACCTCTAGCAAAAGACCCTTAAAAGCAACACATTTCTAGACTTCAGGGTATATATCGCTACATAGGATATATAATTTTCTTACCTGGAAAAATGACCCAACTCTTCCTATTCTGGCATCCTCTGCTATCCCTTCACCAAGTATTCACTCACCTCCCACGTGGCACAAAAATCTACTGTGTCCAACATTGACTTTCCATTTTCATCTGTTGGAAAATCATCTTCCCCTGGCTGGAACAGAGTAATAGTTACATCAATCTCACAAAACACAAGTGTCCCACCCAGAGAAACACTCCTATATATATGCATATGAAACGGGACACTACCCATCCATGAATATGAGTGAAGCACCCCTCTACATACTTAGATTTGCAAAGTGGTTTACATGTGCAATTGTAAGGAATATCTTTCAGTTCTTGTATTTCTCTATCCATTATATGTGTCATGAAACAATGTTTACACAGGTCCTAATGAAGTCTCCTGGTTAACCGGTGTTATTCTGCCTACTTCTACAGATTCATGTAGCAAAATGCTATCTTTCAGTGAGAAATTTAGCATTTGCATGCCCTTAACCACCAGCAACACTGGATTGCACTCTTGACCCAGGCTAAACAATCAGTATTCTTTAGCTACCCAACCATCTGTGGGTCCAAAGGTAGGGATATGAACCAGATGGTCAATCAAGGTTGTATGCAAGATTCATTTTGATAGTGCAGATGTAGAGAATCTATAGGGTACTAATGAGCATGAAGCTTGAACAGTCTCAAGTACATTTGCCATCAATAGAAAAGGCTGGGGTAAATCCCTGGGAAATCCATAATAACAAAGATAAATGGGATGTAAAAACACTGTTGTTTCTGAAGGCTACTTCTAATGTGTAAGTGTAGCCATTGCATGGTCTGCCCATTTCATAATAAACAAACTCTTTTGTATAACCTCTCTTGAGTAGATTATGATTATAAAACATATAAATCGAGTATATATATTTATAACAACTTAAGATAACCATCTTTGGAAATGATGGTCATGTCCCCAAAGTTAATAATACAAACTGATAATAACAAAAGGTTAAATTGCCTACCTTCATTGGCACTGGATAATGAATAAGATAGAGGTCAACATAATCCAATTGCAGTTTTTTCAGTGATCTTTCCAAGCTAGGTTGGACCAACTCTGGGCGATGGAAAGTACACCAAAGCTACAGATGATGAAGAATGGAATTTGTGCCTGGATTAATAAATTATTCAAATTTGTTTCACCTAATATTGACATATTTTGTACTGCAAAGAAACTGACGGTCAAGGGGAAAATACACCTTTCATTGCTGGGGTTCCTTTGATGTGACCTACTGAGGTAAACTCCTGTGTATGTTTGATTCATTGTTAGTCAATCTACTGAATATGGAATAAAATATCTCAAGGGATAAATTTAATCACATAATAATGTCCAATCTCTAAACTGTGGTAACAGAGATTATAAAGCCATCATTTATCTAATCAGCTCATCAGATTTATATTGCTGGAGAAGAATCAGCAGCCCTTTATTTATATAACTTAAGAGAAACACATTTTGACCATTTTGATATGTGCTGGAGATGAATGAATACACATTACCATTTCTTATTTATTATACAAAAAGTCTCTTATGGGTTTCTCTATATAAAGTTTTTGATTTATATTTCAAAAGATGAGAAATTTCAGAAAGTCATCTAGGGGATAAAGAAAGACATATTTGATTATAGTTCTGTGTGATTTCACAGCCCATGCTAAGTGACACTGATTTGAGTTGAAGCTCAGTATAGTAAATATATGATTTAGATAGAGTAAGTATAAAGTCACAATCTTTCTCAGTTTTTGTAACTGAATCATATATGTGAGTTCTATGTGAATAGAAAATGTACCAATAAGCTCATTTCACTATTATGTCAGTTTTTTACAATTTCTGCATCCTTATATCACATCATTAACTTATATACTCACACACAATATGCATAGTACCTTTGAAGTGAGAAATATGTCTTCTCTCTTCACAGTGCCATCTGCAATCTTGCTCTGAATGACTTGTCCCACCTCCTCTTCAACTTGGTATGCATGAGCAGTATCAATATGGCGGAACCCAGCATCTATAGCCATTTTTGTGGCCTCCATTGTTTTACTTTTAGGAACCTAGGAGAACAACAGAAGGTAGTATTTGGAGATACATGTTGTGAATGGTAGCTCAGAGTGAGTCTAGTGGACAGTTCAGTAGAGGACAGGATTTTAATACTCCAAAGTCATCATCAGATCACTTATTATTGAATAAGGCTGCAGGTGAATTACTAGCCCTTCTTAATGTATGCATACAAATTACCCACCTTCACTGGCACTGGGTAATGAATAAGATAGAGGTCAACATAGCCCAATTGCAGTTTTTCCAGGAATCTTTCCAAGCTAGGTTAGATCAACTCTTAATGTATATATACGTGAATTACATATGTATGTTTATATACATACATTAAGAAGGACCATAAATCATGTGTACCCTCATGCATTCCCAATTTTTCCTATCATCATGTTAAAGATACATTCAGGTAAATTTCCCACAGTTGCAATTGGTGAAGATGTCTTAAGAAAGTAGATAAGAAGAAATCTAACAGCCACCAATAAAGAACAAACAGAAGCTTCCAACTCCCCATTTACATCCTGATAAATATCCTGCATTTTGGATAGCTCTTAAATGAGATGAAAACATCCTGTTCCTTTTCTTTCCCCATTATCTTGTTATTTTATCAGTATCCTCTACTCCATAAAGCATTTTGTCCTGTTGATGTGACATCCTGCCCTCCAACTTGTTCTGCAAGCAACCCTGCCTTGCATACTTTTGTTCCATTTCTACAAAATCATTTCACAAAATGTAGCCAGAGTTTTATGTAATTGTAAGTATTATAATTCTTATGTTACCTTGTATGGCAATCTTTTTCCTGTCTACATCCTTCCTGGGAATCTCCAAGATTATGTACCTCTTCTTAACATACTCATTAGCTGGTGATTATAAATTCTTCAACTGCTGAAAATTTGGGGCACAAGATTTCTTAATCAGTTTGCCCACACTTAACTCATATAAGAGTATTTTTTCATTTTTAAATATACCTTGTTGTACATAATTCTTTCCTCTGTGTGTCTTGCCCACAAATACATTCTTTACCAAGACCATCATGTGCCTAAATTCAAACTCCATTGGTGACAGGGGCACATAGAAAATTTTATTAGCCATGTCCATCATTTACTGAGAGATGCTGAAGGCTATCCCACAGCAGAACAGCAGTGCCCCTCCATCATTTATTTCATGCTTCCTACTTCTCTGGATCTTGCTTTCATGAAAGGAAAAAGATTTCCTGAATTATAGAAATAAACGTACAAGTAAGGATGCTGATAGACAGTGTTCTGGACTGCTGAATATTTCATCTTTTCTTCTAAGCTAGGAAATAGATTTAAGCAGGGAAAACATAATGCCCAGAATAATCAAGAGTTGGTGATGAGAGGCTAATGCAGAGAAAAGTCTGACAATCTTCTCTTTTTCCTGGCATACTTCTAGCCTGGAAAAACTGAGAACCAGGTGCATTCACAAGAGTCATACAGGTTATAGATCTCTTGACAGGCCATATCAATCTCCACTCATACTACATATGTTTTCTTTTGAACCATTCACCACACAGCTAATGTTACCTCTTCAGGGGTATAGGTGCCAAAGCCCAGTCCAGGAATGAAGTGACCATCATTTAGTTTCACTTGCTGGTGTTTGGAATTCATTGCTGGTCAGTCCTCTGTCTGAGCAGTTTCTGTTTCTTCTCCTGCATGCACAGGGAATTTATAAATAGCAAGTCATAGCTCCTCCTGCCTGAATAGTGTTGATCCAGTGCCACTCTATGTCTAATTATTAATCAATAAGGCTGTCTAATGGTTAACTAAAAGAAGACAGAAGGTAGTGGAATTAAGCAGTATTCCAGGCAGGTGTGGTCACACACACACCTAAGTATTTGGCAAGTTAAGACAAGAGGATCATGAATTTGAGGCCTGCCCACCAAACATAGTGAAAGGGAGTCTCAAAAACCAACATTAGGAAAAAAACAGACATATACGTGGAGAAAATTGGACGAGACCATTTATTTTTGACAGATAATTATTTTTATTATTTTATTGCTGTATATTTAATTATATGTAAGAAGGTATTGTATCGTGACATTTCCAAACATGCATATAATACAATTTATTATATGTTTTCTTTCCCTTTCCATCCCCAGGAACTCCCACTTTGACTTTCATGACCTTGATTATTTTGTTCTGACTAACCTTGACAAATAAATCATGTGATACTTGTCTTTGTGGACTCGCCTATTACATGATAATCTCCACTTCTGCCCACTTACCAGTAAATGACCCTGATTTCATTTTTCTTAATATCTGAGTAAAACGCCATTATGTATATATGCCACATTTTCTTATTCATTCATCCATTGTTCAGAAACTAAGCCAAATCCATAATTGGGAATTTGAATGGTGCCACAATAAACAGTGGTTTACAGGTATCTCTATAGTAACTGACTTTGAATCTTTCAGAATATACCCAAAAGTGGTATGACTATATTATATGGAAGTTTTACTTTTAGTTTTTGATGAATTCCCTTCTGGTTTACATAATAATTATTAAATAAATTTGTGAATAATGACAAAGCAATTATTTTTACTAAATTTTCTCTACACAATATCCCACATATCATTCTATATTATTATGAGATTGATTCAACTGTTACTGATCATTTATTAGATTGAAAACCTTCAGAGGTCTTTTTTCTTGTTTCAAGTTTTTGCTTTTGTTTTGTTCATAATGAAGCCCATACTTACTACTTCATCATACATTATTGGAAATCATGACATATAATAAAACATACACACAAACACACATAAAAGTGTGTGGCTAATGAGCATTTCAAAAAATTTTGAACCTCAAAGAAAATTGTAATGCCTGATGCATACAAATGAAAATTTCCATGCATGTAAGTGAAGGCATGAACAACAGTATAAAGCAGAGTATCGGAGGAAAACAATGTCAGAAGACATTTATTCTCATTAATTATATAGGGATACTCTTTTATTTTATGTAATTTCATTAATATGGATTACAAAAGTTATGTTTGTAATCATTAGAACTAGTCATTTTCATGTCTCTACTTTAATGGAAGGTGTTTGCAAAAGGTTCCAGTTCACCTTTTGTACAGAGGTTTTTAGTACGACTTTAGTGTCACATAACCATGTGCAAGAACCATTTCTCCTTAACTTCTCAGCTTTAGTTACTTTTGGAGGGTTGACACACTCAACTCCGTTTTGATTCTGACAATTTTCCCTTCATCTCTAAACAAACCTCTGAAGACATAGCTGATTACTCATTCTGTGGATTTTATTTTCAGCCATGAAATTTGAACTCAGGGACTCATTACTGCAAGGTAGACACTCTTACTGCTTGAGCTACTCCTCCAGCCCTTTTTTTTTCCTTGAATAATTTTTTGAAATTAGGTCTTGCAAACCTATCAGGCTGGCTTTGAACAGTGTTCCTCCTGATCTCTGCCTTCTGAGTAGCTAAAATTACAGGCATGAGCTTGTGGCTTAGTTTTAACAGTCTCTCATCATCAGGATGAGATCTGTCCTGGTTGATAGAATTTGATCCCATTTTAGGAGAGAAGTAACAGATAGCTAGGATTCATTGCCAATAAGACATTTTTTGGCAAAATTCAAGCAACTAAGAGGCTTAGGAGAGGTAGCTCTTAGTCTGGGCTTACCTGAAGTTAATTCTTAAATTTAATTCTGTCTGTCCTATACATCTTAGGTTGTGAACACACTGCTCTGTTATAATTGTGCTTCTGCAGAATATTGAGGCAATAGTTATAAAATTTACAAGGAAAATAAGAACAAAACCAGCAGAATAAATTTTAAGACAAACTAATTCAAAATTGAGTACTTTCTAGAGTCATTTTCCAAGAGTTTTACTACAAATGCTTTAGAGAATGAGAAAGACTAGATGACAGCCATGTTGAGAATTTTGAAAAAAAGTTTAGCAATTGACAAAATGATCTAGTTATTTTCATTGAATACAGCATTTCAGAATAATTACTATGAATGACAACATTATATCAGAGCCATCAAGCTTTCTTTATTACCATCTCAAAGATGTATTTAAATTTTTAGTGTAAAGAATGAGATAATTAAATCATTTAGTCAAAGAAATATATGTAGATCAGATTAGAAATAGCAGGGCTGCCCAAATGCCAGGTTTTCCTCATGAGAACACTATGGATTATAGGACGCAGAGGGGCTGAAAGTTTCCCTGATCATTTTTACGTGTTGATAATCCAGATGCACTTCATAGTAGATAAAAGAGAGCACATGACAGTAACTGCATGTATTGAATTCACAAACATTTAACTCTGCAAATATTTGTATAAAATTTAGATAAATTTTAGATACATAGTTCTACACATTTCTGGTCACAGGCATTTTGGTTGTTAAATGTACCACAACTACCTAAATTAACAGTTATTTGTTTATCACAATTATAAAGTGGTCTAAGACTAACATAAACAGATTTTTCAATGAACTCTGACTCAGTTAAGACTCTGTTTCCTACATAGTCAAAAGCCCAATGCAATGTGCATAAAATGCAACCAATTATCTTGATGAAACACAAAATCTTTGTAATAACTTTATTAGAAGAGGTAACAGAAGAAAAAAATGAAGAAGAAAAAGAGAGAAAACAGAGGCAACATCTCCTCTGCATTAACTATATAAGTGCCACCTAAGAATCATTCTAAAGATGCTTTCATAGATACATAGGCAAAAAGTAAAATAAGTTAAACTTGCCAAGAATGTCAACCTAACCACACAGGATAACACAAAAAATGCAAAAATGAAGCATTTCAGTGCATCTTCAAGATACTTTTTCTTTATGCTTAATTAGAAGAATTGAGGAGGAATCTAACCCCTTCTTGGACAAGGAAACTTGCTTGTCTCTGTCAGAAGTAAGGTATGCATGTTAGGAGGTAGTGAAAGGGTCAGATCTGAGGGAATGAGAAATATAAGCTCTTTCTTTTGTGTTTTGTGAGCTATCCCTGGATTCATGCATAAAGCCACAAATGCTTAGACATTTGGATTATGATATTCACTGACTTCAGTTGGATTTCCTGGACTTTGCCACCACATCTCACTACTTGAGAAATCAGAACTTTTTTTTGTTTGGATTTTAGTCAGGCTTTATCCAGACCTCAAGCTGATCAAGCTGGACATTTTACCACATCATAAATCTTTATTTTACTGGCCTGGATGAGGACCAGGAGTCTATTACTCCACACACACCACACATTACAGTCCCTTAAAGACTATAAACAATTTTCAAGGGCAAACTTTGCTTTTTTATAAAGTTTTTCAGATGTAGTGAGAACTTAAGGGCCAATTTAAATCACAAAGTGAAAACATTAGATTACAAAAGGAATAAAATTTATTACAGTAAATAAACACATTCATTTTTATAAGGGAATTATATTAAAATGATAGATTCTGTAGAGCTCTTCTGTGCCTACAATACTGGCATTCATCTAGCCACAGGTTCACTGAGAAAAATTTTACCACGTCCAGAAACAAAACACTGTTATGAACTCTGAGATCTATGTACTTCTCAGAAATAATACAAAATATTTTAGATATTTAATATATATGAATATTTTCATCACAGCTTTGCCTCATGATATAATCAGAAATTTAAATGTCCAGCTACAATGAAAAATTACACTCATGACGTCTTATCACCCTCACTGAAGAAACACACTGTGATATTATACAGAGTAACAACATGAAATGCTTATCACACAGGGTATTGGAAAATGCTATTGCATCAATTAGGATACTTCTAGCTGCAAAAAAAAATTCTGTTGACTGGCTGAAAATTTGAAGAAATTGATTCTAGTCCAGGACTGTTGTTCTAACAGGAGATGAAAAACACCATCTTGCCTCCAAGATCTTTGCTCTGTGCCCCAACCAGGATACTTGTGGAGGGCTGACCTGAGATGTCTACTATATAAATCCTATTCCTCCTTTTCAGCAAGACACAGATGGTTCATTGGGACTGTTTCATTAACTGAACTGACCAGAGACCTGCTCCTATGTCAGATTTTTTATTGATTATAAACCCTTATATAAACTCTGAGTATATATTAATAGAAAGTCTATAAATAAACACAATAGTGCATTGCAATTCCATGTAACCCTCAGTGAGAGTCTGCAACTACCCAAATGTTTTCATTCTTGTTTCATTTACTCCTCTAGATCCTACCCATCCCAAATTAGTTATCATTTTTATGTAAAATTCACATTGTTGCAATTCATAAACTTTAGCAATACTGTTTTGAGGAAGGCATATGTTACCTGTAATACTATCGAGGTTCAGCATCTTTCTATTTTTCACAAACTTTCTTCCATAATCTACCTGAGACAACACCTCCTCACCTCTAGGCAAATGTTTTCCCACCTTGTTTTTTATGTGAGATTAGGTTTGTCTGCTCTAGTATTTCATTGCAAAGAGATCATATGACTTTCCACAATGGCTGTGGTTATTTATATTTCCATTAACAGTTTAAGAGTTTCCATTTGTCTACATGCTTGCAAGTGTTTTTTCAGTTTTTGGATGTAATACAACTATTCTAAGTGGAGTGAGATGATATCTCAATGTGGTTTTGATTTGGATTTCCCTGATGACTAGTGATGTT